AAAAAAAAGTAGAAAATAAGGCTTCCCTGGTTCAGCCTCCAGCAGAGCAAGAAGAGACAATAGATGACAGAGACAGAGAAAGTGAAGACTTCAAGCCTACAGCATCTAAGACCAGGAAAGTACACCTAGACTTTCACTTGATCTCCAGGTGAGATATAACCCAACCTGAACAGAAATGCCCCGAGCGATCCAAGACAGGACACTCGTGAGCTTCCTGGCTCTTCCTCCAGTATGTTTTTGTCATCATCACAAGTGGATACACCGTTGGTCACCCCCAAGACCTTCCAGCAATGGGGAGCTAGCCCATTGCTCTGAGTCTCTTGCTTTGCTGTAGGATGGTAGTCAAGAGTAAGCAAGCTCTTGTGACTTGCAGGGACTCACAGTCAAGGTACTTTACCTCTCTGTGCCTCAATTTCTTCTTGTGTCTCAGCGATAACTATGCCTAACTCACATGGCTGCTATGAGACTTTTTGATGCAATCCAGTGCCTCTGACTGTGTTGGGTGCTGGGCCACCTCTCAAGTTCTGGGACTCGCTAGAACTCACAGAACTAAGAAAAGTTACCATGATTGCAGTCAATAGCCACAGTAGCCAAAGGATAGAGATCAGGACCAGAGAAGACCAAAGGTACACAGGACAAAGCCTAGGAGACACCGCCCAGATTCCAGCTTTCCTCTCCTGGGACAGCCGTAGAGCTATGCCTAGTTTTCCCAGTGAGAAAAGGTGATCATGCGTACAAAGTCGTATCCTCCAGGGCAGCTCTTACACCTCCTGGTATTTGGGGGTTTTAGTGGTGGCGCATCACACAGGCACGCAGCACCTGAATGTCTAGCTTTAGTTTTCACTCTGCAGCTTCTCCAAAGGTCAAACTGATACAGTGTGACTCAGGGCCCTCACCATAAATCACAGTGCTAGCCTAAACTACCTGGTATGAATGAAGGCCTCAGAAAAGCAAAGATACTCCTATCAGGCAGTACATTCCGAAGGCTTAGAGGGCATCTCCCAGGAATCCCTGAAATGTGCAAGGCTTTCAAACATGTTTCATCACGGCCCTGCTGTGGCAGCCCTGTAGGACCCAGGGACGCAATAAGCACCCAGTGTCACTCTTGTTTCATACATGGGGCTGCAGTTCACTGGCTAGCTCACCTCCTTTGCCATAGGACTACGCTACAGAATCCGACAGCTCAGATCTAGCCCACTTCTGCATCGCTGAGGGCGAGCACTTGTTTCTCATTTCTCATCCATGAGGGAAGGACCTGAAATCTCCTTTCCCTTTCCTACACCTCCCCAGGGAAAGAAAGACTTTCTAATTGGAGGGCCTGAGAAAGATCAGTGCTCTCCCAGCACACCTCTCCTCTCCCCTGAGCCGTTGCCGACAAGGTCGCACCACAGTTCCACAGCAGCAGCCTCTAGAGAAGCTGCAGCTGTCCACCTTGGCCCCCAGCATGCCTGGAGACCATGGGGGTTCCCTGTGCAACCTGCAGCCCCTAAACCATGATCTCACACAGGCTTATTAGCTGCGGATGTGATATTCTGTCTCCACTTGCCCATCACCTACATGTATTCCTCACTCGGTTCCTAACAGGAAAAGGAAAAAAAGAGGTGACATTCATTAAGATCTTCAAGACATAATGAGGGCCCTTCTAGTGTTCAGAAAAAGCACAATTAAATCTCCCTTCAAAGCCCTAGGTCCCACTGTCCTGCTCCCTTCTCCCATTTCCTGGCCTGTTCCCATCTTTGGGACACACTCCAAGATGTCTAGCATCCTCAGAACATGTTGACTCAGAACTACACATGGACAGTCAGCAGTATAGCTCAGCGGACTAAGCACTTGCTTAGGTAAGCACAGGGGCCGGGGCTCACTCCCTGGCTCCACATGCCGTGCCAGCCCTGCCCTCTGGCACACAGAGCTGGCAATGGAGTCTGGGCATGGTGGCCCGTGCCTGTAATCCCAGCACTAGGGAGGTAGAAATCAGGGGGATCACTATGAGTCTGGGCTGTGTAGTGAGACCCTGCACAAAAAAAAAAAAAAAAGAACTGCAGACTGATGAGTCCAGAGTAGGCTGTCTGGATCCAATCTGGGGAGGAGAAGGCGATAACTGAGCTACATCACCAGCCCATTTCTAATTTTTTTATATTTGCACAGGTTCTCACTAAGCTATCCAGGCTGGGCTCATACTTGTGAGCCTCCTGTCTCAGCCTTCCAGAGTGCTGGGATTATAGGCATGTGACACCACACCCTGGTAAATCTTTTGATATTGTCTCAGAATCTCCACAAACACCACCACTCCTGGATGAAAGCGTTGCATGCTGGGCCTGCACAAGGCTCAAATCCTTTTTCATGTGAAGTAGCATCACAACCTTTCAAATCTCTTCTGAATAGGCAGTCAAGTTCTGCTCCTTAGATACGTTTGTAAACACACACACACACACACACACACACACACACACACACACGGAGAGAAGGGCCCATCCCCCACAGGATTCAGAATGTGGGAACCTCCCTCACAGAACAATCATTTCTCTCAGCACTCACACAAAAATGTTACCGATGCAAGAGGTGTGTATCAGATATCCACAAGGCTTCCAGAAATGCTACCTGATGGTTCATAGCGCAGATTCTCGAGCTAGACAACCCTAGATTCAAATCCCAACTCGAACATCTGCACGACCCTGGGCAAATTACATAGCTTCTGTGAGCCTCAGTCCCCTCGGAATCCTAAAGTGAACTTTCTAATAGGACCTGTCTTTGAAGTGCCACACACAGTCCTAGTGTACAGCATACTCGAGGGGTGCTGTGAAGTTCAACTTGAGGGTTTCTAGGTGTTCGAACAGGAGTTAGAAAGTCTGTGAAAGGAGGAGGAGGAGGGGGAGGGAGTTCAGACAGCATGGATTAGATAGACATAAGTCCTATGCTGGAGTCAGATCAGACACCCAGCTGTGCTCTGGGACTGACCCTGGCCTCCAGCCCCCTTACTTTTGCTGTTTAGAAGACAATCCCTGGTACAGGGCAGTATTTGGGGACCAGAGAAAGGATACGTGAGTCAATACAGCAGAAGCTAGTTGGAAATAAAAGGTACAATGACAACGAGTGAACCTCCAAATCATCCCTGTGGTGATCTCAGCCCTCCAGAAGGTCAGAACCATGAGCAAGCCTGATGTGCACCACAGTGGGGTGGGGTGGGGGGCAGCATGGCAGCGTAGGAGCACCAGTAACCTGGACCTGAAGCCCACTCCTGCTGCTCGCCAGCCCAGGATCTTGGGTAGAAGACGCAGCTTCCTGTGTCAGTGTCCCTGTGTAACACACACACAAAAAATGGTACCCCTCTATCTGTCATCTACCCAGAGGACAGCATCCCTGCTCTAGGTAGTTTCTACCTCAGTAGGTTTAGCTGAGGCAATATCAATGATAATACTAGTGATAGCAACATTACTATTGATACAATAGCTGCCTCCCTAGAAAGCCACGGAGGCAGGCAGGCTGGTGCGCACACATTGTCTAAGACACGGCAGCCACCAAGACAACAGTCCCTCCCTGACTGTGGCATATGTCAGGCTTGTTCATGGTTCTGACCTTCTGGAGGGCTGAGGTCATCAGAGGGGTGATTTGGAGGTTCACTCGTTGTCATGGAGTTTAAGAATCTTAAACAGCCCAACAACCTGATTGGCTGACCAGTCTGGAGACCAGGCAGAAAGGAAGTTAAGGCAGGCAACAGCAGCAAGGAAAAGCAAGAGAACACAGAACAGCAAGAAAGTGGACAGGGAAGCCAAGCAGGTGAAGACAAGAATGACCAAAGCGGAGCCATCCGGGGCCTTGCTAGCCCACCCCTTCTCCATAAACCTTCCATGGACAGGTCCCGGTACCCATGCACTGAATCACAAATCATGAGAGCCTGGAGTCATTAAAGGAGAAGTAGAGCTGTTCAAAACAATCCATTTAAGAATACATAAAAAATAGTGTTGTACATCCGGGCAACATTAGCATCACAAACAAGAAACAGTCTGAGGTAAAAGTATAGGGGTCAGGATGCCTCCTTCCTGAGGAGGCTGGATAAATGGAACTTCACCACCTGCAAAGAACCCCAGTGAGGTCTTGTTACCTCTTGGCAAAGTGCTATTTTGGTAGAAGGAAAGCAATAGAAATAAGCAAAGGGAAGCAAGCTAAGAGGGCTTAGGATTTCTTTCTATTTGAAAATATCTTCCACTCGGTGCACTAGGGCTCAGTCGGCCTGGCTCTTCCTGGCAGGGCCAGAGTGTCCTGGCCCCAGCTCAGCAGCATGCATTCCAGCCGCCGGCAGTGCTCCCGGAGCTGCTTCTCCCGGGGCAGCAGGAAGGTGAGCACCTTGTTCCGCACAACACCTCGGTCCTCCTCCTCCCTCAGCCGCTGCTTCACGCGGGCCGCCTGCTCCTCTTGCTGAGCCAGGGCGCCGTTCATCTGGCAGAAGGCATCTTCCAGGTGATGAATGGACTTCAATACCTCCTTCTTAAAGTCCTCCAACTCCCGCTGCACCCCGGCTACCTTCTGCTGTAAGATCTCCAGGTCGTCCAGGGGTGGGAGGCAAGAAGGCCATGACTGGGAGAGGGAGAAGTCTCCAGACTGGAGGCCGCTCTCCACCATCTTCTTCCCTTGTAGGGTATTCACCTTCATGAGAATGGATCCAGTCTGATAGAGGGGCTCCATCCTCTCGCTTGCTTATTGGGCCCAGAGAGGGAACAAAGACACCTGCCAGGTCAGTGAGGTCTTTTGGCTAGAGGCACAATCATCAGGAGTGAAAAGACCCTCGTATTGTGACATCACAGCTCCACCAGCCAACCAGGAGGAAAGCCACAGCTCATTTACATATTATAGCGTCCTTGGTTGGTTGCCTGGAGATAGTTCTGCTCATCTTTCCAAGTTGTCTCCTGAAACTTGGAATCTCAAAATCAGGGTCCTTCCAGAGCCAAAGTTCAAACCCTCCTCCAACCCCCAGGAGAAACCAAGTTCCAGAACAAGGGGAGAACCTGGTAGCACAAGGTGGTCCATGCCAGGCTATCTGGTTGCCAAGGCTTAGCTATCACCCATCCTGACAAGGGGCCTGGAAGGTCCTGGGAGGTGTCTGGGCTTCAGCTCCTCACCAAGACACAACAAGGACCACATAAGGCTTATTGCCTCATCCTACATCTAACCTTAAAATGCTAAAAGAGCAATCATTCCATATCCATGCCCCTAGAATGATGCCAGAATTTAGATGCTTTTTAAGGTGTGAGAAATGTACTAAATGTTGCTGTATGGTCCACAACAGCGGCTGATTCCATAGGGGCAGGGTAAAACTGAGTCACTCGAGGTCATTCGGTGGATACTTCCTGAGCGCTCACTACATCCTAGGACCAGGGAAAAAGTATGGAACAGCATATCCTTAAATGCTGACCAGCGTGAGAAGAAAACATACAGAAGGTGTATCTTGCACTTCCTACCTGATGATTATAACAAAGAAAATGTTTCTAACTAATCTATATTTGATTCAGTCGAGAACAAATCTCCCTCTTGCGGATCATAGTCTCTTGTCCAGCCCTCTCTCTTGGGCTCCAAATCTAAACATCTCCTCAGTCGCAGGCCTCAAATCCAATCCATCCAAAGCTGAACTGACCATCGCTCCCCACAACCAGTTCCTGTTCCGTTGCTGCCTGGTGCAGCACTCACACCATTCCCCACACCAGAAACCTAGTACAATAACCGAAATGTTGGTTCCCTCCCCATCATGACAATGGTAAGAGGTGAGAGGCTTGAAGAAGCTGAGCCCTCTTGACTGGATTAATGTCACTGACTACAGAGTGTGTCCCTCATTAAAGGGTGAGGTTGGCCCTCTCATGTCTTTCTTCCTGCTTTGGGATGACTTAGCAAAAATCTAGGTATTGGACTTCCCAGATTTCAGAACTGTAAGGAAATATTTTTTTTACATACACTGTTCAGCCTCTGGTATTTTATTTTGTTATAGCAGATCAACACAGGGTAACAGATTCATCTAGACCCTTCCATGCCAAAGTGGCTCCCTGTGCTATTGAATCCTTGTCCTCCAGCACTTTAGCACCAAGCCTCCTGGGGTGATCCCAGCACCACTGCCTAAGCTATGTCTCTTCAACAATCACCTTATCTCCTTAAGCCTCAGTTTCCTTATCTATAAAGTAAGGATATTAATTCAGTGGTGTGCAGCTCTCTAGGAGAAGAAAAAAAAAAAGCTCTGATTTGTCACTGTTGCCAATTTCCATGGTGTATATATTCCCAGCAGGATCAATCTCAAGCTCCCCCAACTTGATGGCGCTGGGAAGAGATGTCCAAAATCTGCCTTTATGAGCCTGAGCAGCTAATTCTGATACCAGAGGGTCACACTGAGGGCTGTGGCCTGTTGACCTATCTAGGGGGTTTGTGTAGGCATCTGACAGGGCACTTTGTAGCGAGGTTCATGGCTAGATCAAGGTGGATTTTTTTTTAATGTGTTTAGGACAAAGTCTACAGGGTCTTACTACATAGATCCGACTCATCGTAATTCTCCTGTTTTTAGTCTTCCAAGTGCTGGGATTACTGGCATGCGCCACCACTCCCAGTCTCAATTGCTGTCTCAGTGTGCCCCGGGGACGGGGCCAGCAAGGCACACCGGGGATCAAACCCCAGCCTCTGCTCTCTGCCTAAACAGGTGCTTTAGTCCACTGAGCTATCTGGCTGGCCCTAAGGTGGATTTTTTTAATCAAAAGATGCAAAAAGAAATACTGAGGTAGGTTGTTTGGTGGAAAGAACACTCGCTGGTCTAGGATTAGGCATCTTGAGTCTAGAAGTGGTGTGTGACCCCAGCGTCAGTCCCCTCCCCTGTCTGAGGCTGCTGCTTCTGCTGTGAGCCTTCTCTGCAGGCTTCTGGGTGCGGAGAACCCACACACTCCGCTTAGCTATCTTTTCCCTTTTTGCGCTACTCCAGACCTTGTTCTTTCAGGTCCCTTCGACATAAATGTGCTTCTCGCCCTATGTACTCTCGAGGGCCCTGCCTGTGGCCCTGCACATAAGGACGAGGAGATAACTAGACGAAATTGAATTTGTTTTCGTGGGTGGCCATCAAATCCCAGGCACCCCTAGGTTTTCCGCTGATGTGATGACACCTACTGGTCTTAGCAGAAACAGCAGCCGCCTGATCCTCCAGCCTGAGAGCTGGGTTGGGATTTGTAAAATGATTTTGAAAACAGCACGTGGTCCTGTGGTACTAGGAGGGGTCTCAATAACTATTTCCTGGGTTAATAAAGGAAGACCATGGCTCTGTCTTCCAGTCTGTCATTCTGAATCTCTCTCTTTCTCTGTCTCTATCTCTCTGTCTCTCTCTGTCTCTCTCTGTCTCTCTCTCTC